TTTTTTTTTTTTTTTGCCAGGCCCATAGCTCCAATCAAAGCTAGAACTACATGTACAAGGGTAAAAATATTCATGAAAGAAAAGGGTTTATTACGTAATTAATATATTAAATTATTCGTTGACTGATTACTTAGATTTTCGGTGGTTATTGGTAGTTGAAATGAGCTGTTAAACGAACAAAATTGAAAACAATTTTGAAAATTGTTCTGAAAAGGCATTATTTCATCTTTCTCTATCTATCTCTTTTTTTAATTGTACAAAATAAGCCCTAAAACATAAATACAGTCCACGTTCATATAAAAACTTCGTATTTAATACAAATGTCGAAGGGTTTGTGCTTCAAACAGATGTGTTCCTAACAGGCGCCTTACGTCTATCTCCTCTAAGAAACGCTTGAATCATTAGAAAAAGGGGAAAAAGTATATTTGAAAATTATGTACAGAAACGTTACTGAGAGAAGAAACTCGAGTTTCTACCAGACATTTAATTACGTGTTTAGTTTTCTGATAAAAAAAAAGTTTTAAGAGAAAAAACATATGGAGTTTAAGACCAGCTTTAAATATTATTTGAGAGATGCTGTCGAGCTCCCGGTTGGTCCTCTTCACAATGAATTGTTCACTTATAATGCTACGTAATGGTTTTTGCATAGAGAATCCAGACAAACAGAGGGAAAAGAATAAAAAGGACAGAAAAAATGCAGGTTACCTTTTCAAATAAGAATTCAAAGCAGTGTTCCATTTTTTATGTTAGTTGGACACACCTTTTTAAATCCCCAACTGTGCAGGATTACGTGAGACCGGTTCTTGCTCTACTTCCTCTGTCTGATGGTAAGATCCATAGTAAAAGACGCAGGAAGACCTCAGACCCTGTCCGAGAAGAGGGATAATTTAAAGGGGGGGGGGGTTGTACCGGAAGACGTTTAGGAAGCTTACGTGAACTTGTGAATGTACGTCATGATGGAAAAAAAAACTATTGTCATCTTCTCTTCAGAAGGTATAGAGCCACAATAGTGGTATTTCCTTGTTTCTGACAGCCTTGCATCTCTTATGAACAGAAAAGTCCTCGTCTCCAAAGCTTGCGTAGACCGATCGCGATGATTTCTCTGTCACTGTAAATGTTAATGTAACTTCACGTTTTCGTTTTACAAGAAACTGTATATTTGGCAGAATAAAAAATATTAATATCTTGAAAAATGTCAATCGTAAAGCTAAGTAAAATAATGTTTAGTTAAGCGTTCTCTTGCGCTTATTTTTTGTAAACGGCTTACACAAGTATGATTGTATTTCACTGTTTCCAAATTTCCATGTTTTGATAATTACAATCTCATCCTTTATTTAAAAAAAAGCATCTTCGTCTTTGTGGAAAATTAGCCACACGATAATTTTTATACAATGTATCACAGCAGCCACCACTAGCAAAAATGGCAGATGAGCAATCAAAAATTACTTTAAACAATAAAATTGTATTGCAAAAAAGAGGTTCTTTTAATATATATAACTTTTCATATAAGATGTTGTCAGAAACTTGAAAATAGCACACTTAATATACAGCTATTCGTATGAGATGCTGTTAACAGCTTTGAAAATAACACACTTAATATACAGCTGTTCGCATGAGATGCTGTTAACAGCTTGAAAAATAGCACACTTAATATACAGCTATTCGTATGAGATGCTGTTAACAGCTTGGAAAATGATGCACTTAATATATAGGTTTCCCCATAAGATGCTAGTAGTTAGGAGCTGCCTCCTGACTACTGATACTATTAGCATCTTTGAAAGTGACACTTAACTACTGAACCATTATGGTACGTGTTAGTTTGTACAGAATTTGAAGCTCAGCAATTATTCATATCATATTGATTCTTGAGCTTTGTGAATATATCACCGCTGTTTGAGCCACACAAGGGCGAGTTGTTTAAAAATGTTTCCAGTGTTATTACTACGTTTCACCATATTTGTTTAGCTAGCTTTATATTACACTCCATACGTTTACGTATCTCGTAAGTTTCAAATAAAGCTTTGAGTGAATTCTAACCCACCTGGCTTTCTGATCTATGTTTATTCACGTAAAACATCTTCTCAACAAACACAGTGTTATGCGTTTGAAAGACACACAGGATGTAGATATTCGGATTCACGTTAAAACATATTCTCAACAAAGACAGTGTTATGTGTTTGAAAGACACACAGGATGTACATATTCGGACATTTAAAAGTGAAGGGGTTAAGAATTAAGACACTTATTGTGGTGTTTTCAACACACTTATCAATCAAAAAATTGCTACTGCCAATGGCTAAATTCTAAATCAGAAATATAAAAGTTTAAACCACTTGTAATTATATTGACCTGCACTAATTCATCAGTTCAATAATCCCCATTGTTTCGCACTGTTTTGGAATATTTTAATATACATTTATTTGGTATTATTATTGTTTGGCTCAAAAATAGTTTGTTAGTATTATAATAGCCACGTAATTGAAAAATAAATATCACAAACAATAAATTCTTCAACTTGCAACATCCTCAAATAGCTACAGAAACTAATGATCAAAGTACTTATTACTAAAAGTAGGAGAAAAACAGTTGAAGAACAAAAACAAATACACAAACAATTTTATTTTCTCTCAGTTATCGGCAAAAGTAAAGCAAGAAGCATGCCACACAAAAATGACTTATGAATTATTTGCGAATACCAAATTCACCATAACGTTTGTACGTCCAATTTCAGATTTTGTTCTTTTAACACTGGAATTTGTTTGCTTATCTTAGTACTTTTTAGAGGTTGTTGATATCAATGTATAGCAATTTAGGTTATAATCTCATATTAGACGAAGTTAATTATGTGATAATTGAGCTTGTACCTGTAAGGTTTATAGTCTGATAGAGCAGTACAGCTTAAAATATCATTGGCAAATTAAGCGAAAATATTTCTAAAATACTGTGTTTTAAATCCTATTAAAACAACATTTTAAAAAATAACAAATACATTTTATTTTGTTAAAAATGTGTTTTCACGGTGTTATTTTCACGCAATTGCAAGGAATTATATTTCAACTGAAC